TAGGAAAGCGTTGACATTAGATTGGGTGTCCTCCCGCCCCCCAGGGAGGACGGAAATCGTGAAGCCATTCGATCATTGAAGTAGGAAGGCGCTTAACATATATGGGAATCTGGGACTCCAGAAATACCTACTGTCAACGACCGATGGGTAGGGACGGGCTACGCTCCACGGCCATCCCGATCTGGACCTGTCGGCGGCAAAGGTTGTGAAATCCGCGCAAGTTGGAGGCGTCGATCTGGTCTACCTCCAGGTGCGGACGAGGAGTCTCGATCCCGCTCGATGTTGGCGAGACGCCGTTGAATCCTGGAAAATTCCAGAGTCGTGCTGCCAGTTTCGCTCGTACACCTCGGAACCACCGGCCTAGTCGACCAGCGCGAGGCACTCCATCGCGAGCCTCGGGCCCGGGAACCCCCATTCGTCGTACTTCACCTGGGAGTATAGGGCCAAAGCTTCCTTCAGCATGATGTTGCGCATACAGTTCAGAATGTGCACGCCTAGGATACGATCATCTCGCTTAACTGCCTGACCCCCTCTGGCCAAATCTCATGCTCACCTAGATTCACCCTCGCGGCCCACATAAATAGGCAGTTCACCAGCGCCACCGCTCCTGGTCATCCACGATATTCGAGAAACGCTCCTGGTCATCCACGATATCTTGCGGAAAGGCCTCATTCACCCTATCGAAGCCAGGACCAGCACGTAGCCACGCCATCTCGACAGCCTCGAAACCCTCGTCGTCGGCGAAGAGTCTGGCCTGCACACGCGCGAGCTGGAGGTAACGATTGAGTTCCACCCTGCGCGATAAGAGCACAGCCGAAGAATTTATTCTGATTCACTCGAGCAAGCCACAGAATTTTCCGTCACAAGATAACGTGCCGAATCGTGCTGAAATCATGCGTGTACACCTCTACCGTGGGCGCGAAGCACACCCAGATTCCCCCGTTTCCTGCTCGCACCAACAGAATACGCACGTGCCATTACAAGGAATTACCGTCATGAGGAACATTGGCCTGCATTTGCAACTCTTCAACGTCAAAAGAACGATCCAACATTGCGAACGTAGACTTGCCCGCGTGGCCACCACGGACAATGCCGGAGGCTGCTTGCCAACGATCGTATCCGAGGGATGCACATGGGCCTCAGAGACAACCCGAGGTGGACACACAGACTGTTAACGATGTGCGGGCTGCCGGTATCGAGCAGCGGCTCGAAACCAACCCCACGCTCTGAGCAGCGCCGCGCCGGCCAGGAAGGCAGTCGAGATGCCTACCCGAACCCCCTCCTGCACAATCTGGCTGGTACTGGCGGGATCCGCGCAAGTCAAAGCGCAGCTGACCGGTGGGCACGCGCACGCAGGCCACTCGGGGCACGCAGGACAGCAGAGCCCCACGGCCTCCAGCAAGCGGAGAGCGGGAGGTCCCAGAGCCCACAGGGCTTAGATGCACGCCGGAGGCGGGCCCGACACTTCGAGCACACAGGGCAACGGGCACGGGAAGAGCAAGACGCAAGGTGATAAAGACATGTTTTACTGGAATATATATATGTATATATTTATGTATATATATGAGTGTGTTGCAACGAAGGTACAGCTGTGCAACATCTCGACGAATGGAAACGGTTCTTCGAATCGAGGCTATCGCTCGGCACTCCCGCGAAGTGTACAACCCCACCTTGCCGCATCCATCCAAGCACCAACGACAGAGGGCAATTCCATTCCTAACAGAAAACTCCACCTGAACTGCGGGTCCACTGGGCGCTCGTTGTCTAGCGGGGCGCTTAGCGCAGCGAAGTATGAATGCGAGCAGAGACGAGTAAAGAGGGATTGGGACAGGAGGGTGTATTGCACCGCCGGTGATCATCGGTGATACGTCTCTCGGGCTAACCCTAGGTCCTTTCCTCCTCCATCGCATTTTCATCCTCCTCATGACCATCATAATCATTATCAGTCCTATATATATATGCCTTGGGCGTGAATTGCAGCTTTTGAGCTAGGCGCCTTGGAAACCAGTATGGTTATCGATGTTCGGTGCTCACAAACAAGCTAAAATGCTAAACAACTAACTATTCGTATGTGTTGCGCTGTTACCACCGTCGTTTCAACATTTTCAAAATCAATTCCTTTCGTTGTTTAACGTTGCTGTCGACGACATCCGCAGTTCCTTCTCCTTGCGTCTAGTTTTACCCATGGAGGTATTGCAATGTATCCTTTTGCTCTCCTCTCGCCGGTGCTGCTGGCTGGTCGTGGCACCTACGGGCCTGTCTCGCGCCAGTGTTGGACCAATGTTAAGGTGTCACTGTTAGGTTCCTAGCTCTGGGCACGGTGCGGGAGGAACCGGGGCAGGAGCGGGAGAGCGGGAGCAAGCAAAGTAGGAAGACAAGGAGCAGCCTCCGACAAGGAAACATAACAAATATACAGTAAGAGTGATTCACCTCGGCAGGCCTAGAAACGCTCTCTCAAACACAACACAGAACACGCGCTGCGTTTGTTTAGCGTATGGAGCACGTAAGGGGCCCAAAGTACAAAATGACAATGAGCAGCAGGACTTACAGGGAGTTTCCAGAATGAGCCAGGATCAGCATAAGCATCACCATCGACACCACCACCACCACCACCACCATCATCATCATCATCACTATCATCATCATCCATTATCATCATCATGAGCATTATCATCAGCATAGATATCGCCATCATCAACATCACCATCACCATCACCACCATTGTCATCGTCATCAGCAGCATCATTATCATCATCGTCATTATTCACATCATCATCCACATCATCCTCATCATCAGCATAATCATCGTCACCTGCATCGTAATCTGCATACTCATCATCGTCATCCTCATCATCACCATCACGATAATCACATCAACATCATCGGAATCACCATCCTCACCATCACCATCACTATCATTGTTATCATCAGCGCCAGTATCGTCAGCATCATCATCATCATCATCATCATCATCATCATCATCATCATCATCATCATCATCATCATTAGCATCATCGACATCATCATGACCATGCTCATGATCATCATCATCATCAGCAGCAGCAGTAGTATCCTCATCAGCAGCATCATCATCGTCATCGTCATCAACATCATCAGTCTCATCACTATCATCGTCATCGTCGTCAACATCATCGCGACATCATGATGATCATCATCTTCAGCCTCATCATCATGATCATGATCATCACCACCATCACTGTCATCATCATCCTCATCATCCTCATCATCATCGTCGACGTCGTCGTCTTTGTGGTCGCCGCTACCGCCACCGTCGTCGTCGTCATTATGTTGCCTTCTCGGCGTCTCCCCATCTCATTGGGCACTACCGCATCGGCTCGGATCGCGCCGCATCAGCACGGAGCCGGACTCGAATCGATTCGGCTGCGCCGCGATGCACAACAGCGTCATACAAATAGCGGCCGCGCCGTACCGGTGGAATATCGGAATCGAAGCGGCACGGATCGGCCGAGATCGATAGATCGGATCGAATAGACCCTGCCGCTCGCCCCCTCTCCGCGCAGCAAGCCATCCCGCGGGAAGGCCTCCTCTTCCCACCTGATCTCCTCGGGCCCCGCCCAGTCCGCGCTGTAGGTGCGGAAGCTGCTCGACGGCCTATCGAAGATCCTGCCCACAGGCCGTGGGTGACGTGGAGGGAGGAGGGAGGGAATGGGAGGGAATGGGGGGGGATGAGAAGAAGAAAGTACGGCGGATACAGGTGAAGGCTTTGTGAACACCTTGTCGGTCTGGAAAGGTACGCTTCTGGGGCGCGCGTACACGAATCCAGACACGAATTCGGTGGCTCGTTGCCCGTGATCTCCCGTATGGTCTCCTGAATGGCGTTCCGTATGGACTGCCATCACATGGTCTCCCGTGTGGACTCCCGCGTGGTCCCCCATATGGTCTCCCGCATGGCCTTCCGTCTGGTTTCCCCTAGGGCACCCCGTGGTGTTTCTAGTCTCCCGCATGGTCTCCAGCAGTGCTTCTGGCAGGGTCTCCCATCATGGCCTGCCATCATGGTACCCCATCATGGTCGTCTGCATGGTCTCCCATATGGGCTCTCCCGTATGGTCTCTCCCGTATGGCGCCCCCCCCCCTGCTCTCCCGCCGTATCACCTCCCGTATGGTCTTCCGTATGGTCTCCCATGTGGTTGCCCATCTGACTGTCCCGACTGTCTCCCATATGGTTTCCCGCGTGGCCTCTCATCGATGTATCCCGTCGTGGTCTCCTGTATGATTTCCCGTATGGTCCCACTTGGTTTCCCATATAGCGTCATGTTCGCTCGCGCACGGTTCCTGTATGATTTCCCGAATCTCATCCCGCATGGTCGCCCGCATCATCTTCCAGAATGGTATCCCGCATGGCCCACTCTGAAAAATTACATGTTGTCTCTCTTGTGGACTCCTGTATGTGATTATGGAATCCTGTCGCCAGACGGGTTTCGGAACGACGACCTCTCTCCCGTGTTCTTCGGTTGCAGTCTCTGCACGGCGACGGTTCTTGGCGAGGCAATCGGGTGCCAGCCGCTGCCACCTGGCGGCACCACCCGCTGGTGGATCCCTAACGTGGTGGGAACAACGCCCAGCGGTGAGTCTCGGGCGATTTGGTGTCACCACCCAGCTTGGGGACTCGTGTGGTCCTTCGGGGCTGTCCCGAACGCCGGTGGGTCCAGGAGTCCACAGAACCCGGCGGGGACCCCGTGCTCCACAATGCGGCGGTGACTCTTGGGGGACTCCAGGTCACCACCTGCTATCTCACCACCTGGTTTGGGGGCTCCCAAACCAGGCCGTGCCAAATCAGCAACCATGGCCGCCAGATCCCGCACGGCCTCTCCACTCTGATATCTTACTTCTTGTCTCCCGTGTGGTCTCCCACATGGTATCCCGTCGCCAAGCGGGTTGCGGAACGACGACCTCACCTCTTCCGTTGCCACCTGGCGGCGCTACCAGGCCGAGCCGCTTCAGCAGCCTTCGCGGCCGAATCACATCATGACGCACGGGCGTCGGGCGGCGGGGTCTGGCCTCACCTGCGCTGGCCGCGCCGCACCTCCCGCTGCAGCGGAGGCGAGCGGTGCGCGCCACGGTGCGCTCGTCCTGCGTGGGACGGTCGCAGGCCGAATCTCGCAAAGAATGCTGCCGTCCAAGATGCGCATCGAAGCAAGCATGAAGACGATGGCCTCGTCGCGCAGGCTGTAGCCCGCGTCGTGGCACCATTCGTAGAGCCACTGCTGCGAGTCGAGACCTTCGATGCAGTGCGCGCGCAGCCAATCTACCACACGGCCACGCCAATAAGCGCTCGAATCGAGGAGTGCTTTGACGTGAGCGGTGATGCTCGCTGGCGTGTACTCTTTCCAGAGGTCTGCACGCACCTCGTCCATATTTACGAGGTTCAGCATCGTGTAGTTCAGGCGCGACGGGTCTTTTGCTGCCATGCGCTGCAGAACTGGCAGCCCGAAATGTATAGAGGAGAAAAAGAAATTCTTGAAATGAACATCGGTCTCTCCAGCACGCTCCTTAGCCTTGGCAAGGGCACGGTAACCGAGGTCACGTCTGAACGACAGCAGCTCACCAAGAAACCAATCCTCGAGCTCCATCGTCATGACATGGCTTGAACCTGAAGCATCAGGGCAAACAACTTGATATGCACTGTGCACAGCTTCCTCCCAAGCTGTCCAACAGTTCGCTGCGGCCTCTGCCAGAGACGCTGCTACAAACTCTGTCATGTCACCCTGTGTCCGCAGACCTTCCAGAACTCGAGACATCATGGCCAATAACTCGTCGCAAGCGCCTCGGCGATCACTCTCCTCAGAAGGGCCATTTGAAACCTTGTCTGCTTTCTCTAAGGCTCGCGACATTTTCTCGAGATTGCGTTTTTGATCCGTGGATAGATTAGGATGGCGAGCCAACATATTCATCCGCCGCCGTGCCTGCACGGAGTGGGCTTTTTGGTACGCTCCTCTGTTGTCTTGCAGCGTTCCCCAAACGGTGTCTGTACTTGGGGTTTCTAGCTTGTCTTCTGAGGAACTGGGCCTGGCTGTCGGTCGCCGGGAATGCTGTCGCCGTCGCCGCATGCCGCCGCCGTCCGTCGCCGCTGCTTCTGCGCTTCGCTGTCGGTCGCCGCGCGTGTTGTCGCCGTCCGTCGCCGCTGCTTCTGCGCTTGGCTATCGGTTGCCGCGTTTGTAGTCGCCATCGCCACCGTCACCGCCGTCCGTCGCCGTCGGTTGCACCACATAGTTTGCACCACGTGGGTTGCACCACATAGATTGCACCACATAACTCACAACAGGATTTGTTCAGAATGTTGGTAACAGTCTGCCGACGATTAGCTTAGACCACAGCACTGCACAACGTAGATTCTCCGATTGAAAAGGAAGAGTCGTTCCCACCATCCTCCTGAAGGCAGACTTAACAGCTCCCCCATGGGGATGTGCAATTTACAAATGGTTATGCCCCATCGGTCACTGCATACATAAAGTCACGCAATCTCACCCAAGCTGGTATCGATCCTCCCATCCTCTGCAAAAAATGACTACGCGTACACACTCGCGAATCAAATAACATTGAGTTGCAAAAACCCGTTGCGAAACAAAACGACTACGAACCGCACGCGTGCGCAAGCTGGAAACAGTCACAAACCACAGGTTTCGCAACGCGTTCAACACCGAATGCCCCGAATACGTATAACATGCAAATCAAGAAAAGGCTTGCACGCGCTATTGCCCGAATTCTTCGGGCAACCATGGACATGTTCATCAAACTTGGCCAAGCGTGCGTTTTGCGAGCACATGTCGAAGTTATTCGAACGCCCTCGCGCGCGTGCTGGGGGGGCACCACCTGTCAAATTAATACCGCGCGGGCCAGTCGCGCACGTCGGCTGGGGCCTCCTTGGACCTCGCGGGGCCTCCTGGGAGCTCCTGGGGCTTCCTAGGTGGGACACCCTGGGGCCTCCTAGCCTGTCTAGGGCTCTCGAGAAAGTCCGCTCCAGGAAGCGGCCCCCCACGATGCTAAGCGATTTGGCTTCCCCAGACCGGTGTGGGGGGCCGGCTGAGAACCCCCGCGCGGTTCCTCAAAAGTGAGGGCAGTTTTGAGGACGGGAGCCTTTCTGTTGAGATAGGGGGCGCGGTAAAGATTAAACATGTACCGCCTGGCACCTGGAGGGTGATTTCATTTTATGGTCGCTTGCGAATAACACTTCCCCCGGGCTGTGACGAAGGGCAGGCGGCGGGGGTGGGCGGGTTGGCGGGTCAGCTGGGTGGAGGGGTGGTTGACTGACGGACTGGCTGGGTGGTTGGGTGGCTGGTTGGGTGGGTTGGCTGGTTGGGCTGGTTGGCAGGTTGAGCTGGCTAAGGCAATTGGGTGAGATGAAACCAGAAGGGGCCGAAAACAGACTATCCCGAGGGGGGTCAAAACTAGCCCCCCTGGACCTCCCGAGTGGTGCCCCAAAGGCCCCAAGAGGCCTTCAAGAAGCTGCCTAGAGGCCCTCAAGAGCCTCCCAAACGGCTCTTAAGAGCCCCCGCACCCAAGAGGCACCCCAGAGGCCCCAAGAGGCCCTGAAGATCGTCAAGAGGCCCCAAAGATGTCCGCAAAGGTGTCCCAGAGGTCCCCAAGGCACCCCAAGAGGCTCGCAAGAGCCACCATGAGACCACCAAAATGCCCCATGAGGCCTTCAAGAGATGCCAAAAGGCACCCCAAGAGACTCCGAGAGGCATACAAGAAGCCTCTCGCCCACGGAAGTTCTCCGAGCTCTCCGAGTGGCGCCGTGCTCCCCCGAGGAGGGCAGGCCCCGTGGGCCTCGTGCCTGGATGGGCTGGCGGGGGTACGCGAAGCGTCAAGAGCTCAAACTCCTCCATGCTACGCTGTTGCACAAGCAGGTTGGCGGCGTTCGCCGCAGGCAGCTGGATAATCTCTTTGGCTACACTTTGTCTGTCTACCTGCTGATCGGGCAAAGAAGGCACAACAGACTTGCTGACGATTCCTTGACGCCCCAAGCCTGAGTTTGAGAGGTGACTCAGGTCGACCTCGTGATGCCCCAACCAATTGGAATATTCGTCTTGACTCTGTAGCACAGCCGACCCACAACGCCGCCAGAGCAATGTGACGCAATCATCTTGCGTGAACCGCATATCGGTCCATCCGTCCAGCGAATCCATCACTGTCAGCGTCTCTTCCACTTCAATGTCAAGCCGGACACTTTGGGCGTGGGCAGACCACCCTGGAAAATTCGGAGTATGCACAAATACCTCCACCGAAATGGGTGAGACCGCTTTCAATCCCAAGCCGACGTTGAAAGCTTGATGGTGATTCCCAGACCTATTTCGATTATGGTCGTACGTTATTTTCGCGGCGGTGAACTCATCAAACGTGCCGTCTTCGTGCAGGTACTTCAAGCGCAACTGCACGCCAGCGTAGCCAGTATCTCCCCAACCTTGGTCCTGTCCAGTGACCCACAGTGTCCCTCTGGTGATCTCGATGCTCGTGGCCCCACTCGAGAGTGGGATGCTGGCTTGACAGACAAGCTGCTCTAAAGGGCCTCTTGCGGAGACTGCCACTCGGCCCTGCCAGTCGAACACCTTTAGAAGCCTCCCAGATGGGATCGGAGTCGATAGGGTCGGAGGATCTCGCCGCATCGTCGCTGCATCGACGATGCATCGCCGATGCATCGGCGACGTCAGCGATACGTCGGCGACGTCGGCGTGGAGAACATTGGGGCGCTAAATCCAGCCACATCGCCGATGTATCGGCGATGCGGCGCGATCCTCCGACAGATGGCCACATGTGAACCCTAGGGGGTGGGGGTTCACTCCGCTTAGAAATCGAGGAGGGTGGGGGTATAGGGCTCGCACGTGGCCACCCATCCGACCCCATCCACTCGGACTCCACTTGGGGGACATCGCACCTTCGAGATCTTCCGAGATTGCAGCTCTGCACGGGGAGCCACGGCCCGCGCCGCCTCCAAAAGCCGGACGTCGCGCTGCAAGCAGCGGTACGTCCTGCCTTCCACGCGGGCAGTGAGGGAGCGGTCCTCGTGCAGGCATTCCACCACGCCTGCACCCTGGTCTGTCTCCACAAGATCGCCAAGCATGAACGACCCGACGGCCTCTGGTGGCAGATCATGGCCGCACGCCTTCGAAAATTGTCCCGTGTCTTCCTACCTCCCGTGGAAAACAATGCATCGTGCGCGGCCACTGCAAAAGACACATACGTAACCTCACAGGACAGCTCACTGAACGGCACTGAATCGCACCACGCTCATCCACTCTCTGCACGGAGCCACACTATGCGGAATGTGTGATTCGCAAGGATGCTACAGCCAGAATCCGTCACAATGACGCAAGGTAAGGATGCAACGCCATTGGACGCCCACGTGGAAAAAAATCCAGCAGCATCAGTCAAAACAATCCCATGGCCAGAAATTAAAATGCAAGGCTGCCAGAAAATGCAAGGCTGCCAGAAAGAAAATCCAGCTTCTGATCGGACTGATCTCCAGCCCAGCCCCTGGAGGTCCGGAAAACTCCGGGGGACCCTGGAGGCCTCCAGAAGGCCAACATATATCAGAATCGTCTGAGCATCTCGATCCTCCCTTGCTATCAACTTTCAGCGAAGCTCCCATCATCTGCCACCAAGACAGCCTTCCGGAGGAAGCCCTGGGCATCCAACCCATCCAGCTCCATGACACCAGCCGCGACCGCCTCTGGCACCAACCGCCCGGCTCTCCGAGTCAAAACTGCCTGAGCCAGAACACGTCTTTCTGAAATGACGTAGTGCTTCTGGAGATTCTCAAAGCCACGGCTGGACGCGGCTCGGGAAGCTTGCCAGGCTCGGACATGGTGAAGGGGTCTTGGGACCAATTTTGATCAAGCGTTGGTCGAATGATCAATGATAATGACGACGAGGAGGATCACAACAACGACAATTGAGACGGATATCTTTTTCTCGTTTGTGCGTAACTTGCTTGAGGAGGATCTGGGGAGTGACTCTCTCTTTCTCTCTGCTCTCTCTCTCTCTCTCTCTATGTATATATATATATATATATATATCTCTGTCTCTATTTCTCTCTCTCTCTCTTTTTTGTTTTCTCTCTCTCTCTCTCTGTACATATATATGTGTGTCTCTCATTATCATTATCTCTCTGTCTCTCTGTCTCTGTCCCTCTGTCTCCATCTCGCTAGACCTCGCTCCCTCATTTGGAGTGCAGACCTTCCATGACAAGGGTTCATGCAACTTCTGAGGGGTGGCTCCGTCTCGCGGCACCCGTGCTCAGAAACACGATTCCGCCCTACTACGTCAAGCCGCCCAGAGCCACTCTCGGCCCCAAGACGGCCCAAAGTCAGACCACGACCGCCTAAAGACGGTTGCAAGATGCTTCAAGATCGGCCCAGGCCAGGTCAACAGTCGTCTGGGGGGCCCTCAAACGGCACCGAAGGCACTCAGAGACCCAAAGACGGCCGTCAATATCCATGCATGACCCCTCCAATGAGGCCATGGGAGGCCCAGAGCACTGAAGACCCTTAGACGTGTTCATCCCCTTTGAGCAACATGTGTTCTGCCGCGGGTGGCTTCAGGAAAACTTCCAGCGGGGGCCACGATGGCCCCCGAGGGCCCAGGAAGCTTTCACGACGGCCCAAAAGGGGAGATCTGAGAGGGAGGGCTCCCTGAGAAGACCCACGACTGCTCAAAGAGGGATCCGGCCAATCCAGGGTACTATGGAGCGGTCGTGGCGGGGTCTTGAAACGATCTTGGAGGCCCTCGGGAGGAGTCCCACCAGCACTTTAGGGCGTAGGTGTTTAGGGCGCTCTCACTTCCCACTCCTCTTTTTCTGGGGCTCACCACTGCTCCTCATTGAAACCCCCCCCCTCCCCCACCTGACCAGGGCTGACCCCCCAGAACCATGACAACACCCCCCCAACTAGCCCTG